AGATTCATACCAAAAACATATGTTCACACACACACACACACACAGGTGGACGTGCAGACATGCATGCAAGCACGAGTATGCAACTAAATAAGCCTACACTGATCTCTGCCTAACTGTGATTGATCATCTTAAACTCAGCTGTCACTCTACCTGTCAGCCTGTTTGTCTGTATTCTCTGTTTGTTAGTTTGTTTGCGTGGATAGACGGGTGGCTTGCTTGTTGTTTGTTTATGGCTGATCATTTGTCACAATAAATCATTAGGGAGGGACACACCTTTGAGCCCCCTGGGTTGTTTCCATCCCTCTCAAACTGATTTAGGCTTATACAAACACTTCAGGCTCTCTGCACTGTCACCCTCACACACTGGAAGCTGCAAGCTCCCGCAGAGAAAAAAATGGGACATAGTTGAGTGCCACCCCGCTCCACTGACGGATGACTTCCTCTGTCATTATGTAATGGAGTTCAGGGCTTCACCTGCCCCGGTCAGGCCTGTGGCCTCTGTGCACACACCAGGATATGAGAGGACAGGGAATTGGTCTATAGGTTGTTGGGTCACTACTCTGGGGATCTACAACAATACCAGTGGGGGTGTGGAGGGGACAGGGGTTGGCGGTGTCCACATGTACAGTACATAAAAACAGATTTTCACTTGATGTGCAAAACCTTTAAGATGAACATTTCTTCCCTTGCTTCTTTTATTCAATGAGAGGGACCTCTATAGTATAAGGTATGCTAACGATCACCATGAAAATACTTTTGCCGAGTATTTCTTTTTGGCAAAATGAAACATAATTTTAGAATTTTTGGAAAAATCCCAAGAGATATACAGTCAAGGTTCCAGTGTTGTACATGCTTGCTCACTGGAATTGATTGATTATTGGAACACCCCAACCGATACAAAGCCATCATTGATGTTATTATATTCAATATTCTTATTTATATTCTTATTAGTAGTAGTATATTTGTTGTAAATTGTCAGCTTTTACAGAGGAGCAATAGAAAGCATCCTGACTGGACCGGAGGGCTCTGCAGCGGGGGATTAAAACTGTTCAGAAGATCATTTGTACCCATCTCCTGAGCATATCGGAGATGTGAGGTGTACGGTGGCTCTGAAGTGCAAACTGCAACAGCAATTCGCCACAACACCACAGCAAATCGTCACAACACCACAGCAAATCGTCACAACACCACAGCAAAGCGCCACAACACCACAGCATTGGTGAGATTGAAATGGAAAGGGCAGGTACGTGTTAGACACTGATCCAAATAAGCTTCTCTGTCCTCATAAACTACACATTCCTTGTAATACCTGTCTAGCCTACACAATAAAGGCATTTGATTACTGTTCTTATTTGTAATGTCACACCACAGTAAATTGCCCTTATTCACAGCAGACATTTGACTTGTCATAAGAGCAACAGCACTGGTGGTACCATAACATTAACTATGTCTCTGTTCTATTCAAGTATCCCAGTAAGCCATGACAGTTTAACAGTGAGCCAGCATGCACAATACCAGGACACTGAAACTAAAGCAGCTAAATGGAATTCAGCCATTATTAATTTGAATACTTACACCTTTGCTTTTCTCACTAACATGTCAAAATGTCGAGTGAAAACGGCCTATTTGTATCAGTGTTGCTCTATTCCCAACATAACAAAATAACAGGTCTAAATCTGTCCTAAATATGAATTATTGCTGTTAACACCCCAGTGTGTAATCAGGCAAAATAATTGACAACACCTGTGTGGGTGTACCATGGGTGTGAAAGCCTTTAATGGTGTTGGGTCCAATTTTGTATGCTGATAACAAGTGCATAATGTGATTTATATCACAAACTGAACATCCTGCATTGGATGAAACTATTGGATGGAAATTGTATTTGGAACTACTGAGAACTGATTTGATTTAAAAGTGTATTGACTTTACCTGAATGAGAATGTGACTGTGCCAATGTAAAGACAGCCAAGGAGGGACTCAGGTAGTGATCTGCCTGGATTATCCAGCCATGGGTTATACAGAGTTTAACATCTGGTCACAAAGACAGCAGAGCTAGAGTTACTCATCCCTGACAGCAAGAGAGAAACAGACACAGAGACAGCTGAGTAGACAGACAAAGATTTTCAAATTATTTATGTATTTAAAACAATGTCTAATACGCTTGGGGCTTCTAGTATCATCGATCTCACTGAGAGTCAACATTAGAACATCTTGGAGGCAAAGGGCCATATATTTCTCTTAGGAACTGTTCTACCAAATCAGCACTAAAATGGCAGTAAATATTTCACTTAAACGTGATAGTTGGTGAGGAAAGAGGAATTTAATGGGATGTTCATGTAGCTCTAGCTGTGTCTGCTGAATGTTAGCCTTATGCACCTAATGAGCTAAAGTTCTGTTGGAAATTGGTAACTGCAGCTTTATTGTAAGATATGCAATTAACAAAATATTTACGTTGCCCCAGCCATTGCAAATCTTAACCTAAACATGCCTATTTCCAACTTTATGCTTAATCTTGTTGACGCTCATGCTTAATTCTAAGCTTAAACCCAGTCGTGCAGTTTGAAAGGCTGCACTACGAGGTTGTAATAGTAGTGCTTCTATCAGTAACATTGCTGGGATTTGTGATTTTGAGTAACTATGGCACCTTTCTTTTTGTCTTTGGATCAAAGGATATCATGGCTAACAGTTGACATAATAATTAACCCTATACATTGCCAAAAGAGACACACATAAAAGAATTATATTTTTTGCGGTAGAGTATACTTTTTAATTCCTTTTGCTGTCCATGACAAATCCAGCTATGGCCAAGCCAAATTACACAGATCCCAAAAAAGAAAATGAGACAGAGGGAGAGAGATAAAGGAGGGAAACAGAATGACAGCAAGACGACATTGTAAAAACAAAAGTGGGTCTCTGTCCTGTCCTCCCACCCCTTAGCTGCCCTCTGCTCCTGACCTCAAGAACTTGCGGTAAGTTTGTAAACCATTTCTCAGTGACCTCAACAACTGACCACCCTGTCCTTTACCTGCAATAAAACATAGACACAGGCATTACAAACGCAAGCCAGCCACATCAGGGAAGACCAACAAGCAGGCTTCACAGTGTCTGCTTCAGTAGAGAGAGAAACCCTTACCAAAACACAAGAGTATATTATCACGCTGTTCGTTTGTCTGCCTCTGTTTGTACTTCCTCATTTTTATGTTCAATTTATGTTGTGCGGAAATCTTTGTGTAAGTCCGAACATGGCGTATGTAAGTGGGTGCACATAGACAACTCCTCGCTCCATTTATTAGCCTCATATTTACTTCTGTGGGAGTGCACATGACACGGTTCATTTTTTCTGTCCTGCTCTCTCAGTCTCTCTCACCACATTTTGTTTTTATATGGCATGCTGAGATTTGTTGTTGTGTTTGGTTTGTAACTCCTCACCCACAGTATTCATTAGATAATGAAGGGAAACAGTATTTGTGGTGGGAAGGTGAAGGTCACAGTGTTTGGAATACACATGCATGACTGGTTAGTCAGCCATGTTGTGCTATTGGTCAAAGCAAAATCAATTGCTGTATTTTTGTGTAAGATGTGTAAGATTTGATTATGTTTCCCAAAATAATTAAACAAGTTTTAAGTGAATTTCTGATCGGTTTTCAGCAAATAAAGTGGGATTTAATGATCCTATCAACTGTCTTTATGTGAACAAGCAAGGGGATATCACTAGTAGAGCACTAGTAACTCATTGCAGTGATTGAGGTTACATGCTAGGGAGGAGCGGATGTGATTGATACTTTGATACTCACAAGCTACTCATTTGATATCGATTCCTTTAAAAATTAGATAAGAGTCACAAATTTGCTCTGGAAAAATTATGACCTGATTAAGAAGATGAAGACATCTTTACAAATGTGCAAGTGCTATAGTTAATTATTTTATTATATTTTATTTACAGTATTTTACACGCATTAGCACAATCATTTTTATCTAATTGTATTTATATTTGCTCTTGCAAATTTGAATTTGCTTTTAATACATTTCTTATTAATGGCTGGTATATGTGAATTTGCTTTCAGCTTAAGGCTCTTTTGTTTGGTAAAAAAAAACCCATTATTTTGAAAAATCACATACCTATTTTAGAAAGGATCAGTATGGGTATCCTTAAAATTGTAACGAAATTAAAAAAGTTGATTTCACCCATCCTTTGCTATTACATCCACCTTCATGTAACCCTGTGCACACATTTAAGTAGGCCAATTCTCCAAATAAAGTTATGTAAAATGTGAGGGACTAAAACTGAAAGTGATTTAGTTATGAAAAAAGTAAGATGTAAATATAAGTATACTCTAAATACTATTTTAGTAAATATTAATTCAGTTCAAAATAATTTCATAGGCGAATATTTAGAGTTAAATGAAATCATAACACAGATCACCCCTTTAAGTTTAAAGCGTTAATTTACACTGGTCAGTCATTGATCCCTCTTGTCATTGGCTGTAGTTGAGGAAGACAAATGGAGAGGGGCAGGGAGGGACACAGAAGGGGCAACTCGGTTACGATGCCAACACGCACTTAACCTAATTACATCGTTTCATTTAATTAGGCTGAATGTTAGTGCTTGTGTGTCTGTACAGGATTTGTATTAGAAATCTGAGTTACTGAAAATGCTAGCCGCTAAGCTAACGGAGTGAAGCTTCTAACCGCATAGCTATAGGCTGCTAATTAACTTACGTCTATTTGTAGCATCGGCTAGCAGTAGTTTGTTGAAGTTAGTGTTTGTCGCTGGTAGATAAAGTGAACCATGAATGTGTGAGAGCATGGACCTGACGCTGGTTTCCAGTTGGTTCAGTCACACGCCATGATGACCGGGAAAGCTGTGTGGGTCTGATGAAGACCTGTTGGACCGTTGAGATGTTGATAACGTTAAGTTACAAGGTCAACTAGTCATTGGTGACCTGAAAAGACCACCGTGCTTCTGAGGAAGATTTCAGCCTTCGCTGCCACCTGATAAGGTTACTCTCCTGACAGACGTCTCTCCAGGATTGAAACAGAACTGTAAGTTTAACATTGCATTCATCTTCATTGGTTTAAGTGAAGAGCAGTGTACTCCTCTATAGACCAGGGCCCTGGGCCACATGCATCTGAGAGATGTACAGATCTGCAACGTTTTTTATTTTGTGTCAGTGTTCAGTATGCATAAGTCATGCATTACTGTAATCATTCACATTGGTAATGAAGAAACCACTCAGATTAATTTCCGTTCATTTCAAATCAGTTATGTTTAAGATCAGATGACAAAACATTTGTTGCATGAGCTCCCATCCATATTACCTGCTGGTCAGAGGTCCAAACAGAAAGTGAGCCCATTAAATGGGCTTTAGAGGAACTGCAACTGTACCATGTTGAGTAGAGGTCAGAGGAGGGCATGGGTTTGATTCAGGGTATTGTCTTTTTAGGGTTTAGTGTTTCACACTGACCCTGTTTTGTCCACTTGGACCATTTGGAAAATTGAACAAATATATCATCCTGACATTGGTTCGATTCAGGAACCAGACCTTCAGGTGTGAACTTAAAGTACTCGAAATAATCTATATTGTTCATATTTCTATCTTAGGACAGTAAAAATAATGATTAGACATTGTTTTTACATAGAAATGTTATTTGATTGTCTTAGTTGGTTGTGAACTTATAACTTTGGCTTGTATGTAGAAGGAGCTTCCTGTATCAATACAACGGCAGGGCTCTACAGTGCTAGTATTTCACTTGCATATTAACCTAAAAATAGATATGTACAAACCTAAGAAAAATGTATGATCACAGTGTGTGAGTAAAGACAGCAACCTGTAACATTATGTGGAAGATCTGGGTAATTCTGTACCTGGAAGTTGATGTTTTGTGGCTCATGTTCCAATGAGCAGCTTTCATTGGAATGAATGGAGTCACGCCTGCGACGCTGTATCTAGCTGGAAGTTTGCTGTTAGCTACCCAGTAGCCATAGGCCCAGTCTAGATTTTCTTTTGTTCACTGATATATTTCCTCGTGTTCTTTTGAAAAAGGTTTATTAGCTTATTTATATAATTTATTTATTAAAAATTTTGAATATAGCTTTTCACAGCCTCATCAGAACTAGCCTGAACTGTTTGATGGTGTGACAAAAACTACAAATAATAAATAAAATTTCTGTTTTATAATGTTGTCTGGCATTTTGTCAGTTATTTTAAAGAGGATATAGTCATAAGTGAATGAACCTGACTTGAAGTTGAATAGGCTATTTCTGTTAGCATGTTGGATTAATTTCACTTTATATATAGAGGTTAACCTTCTTCAAACTCAGTCAACAGTGTTTTATACATAGCATAGGGCTTTGAGGTTACTTGGTTGAGTGGAGGCATCTAACGATAAGTGGCATGACATTAAATTCTTTGTCTACACAAGTTTTGTTTCTATCAGTCTTTCATCACGTCTTCTCTTTCTTGGTTTGCCAACTTTTCCAACTTTTCAGAGTGTAAAAAGTTGTTTTGTATTTTTAAATGAACAGATTCAAAATGAGCAGAAAGACTGGTGGATGGAAACATACTGTGCCTCTATGAGCTGCAAAGAGGATGAATTCATATTAGCGAGTGTGCATCTGGGAAGGTTTTTCCTCTACTCTTCAGACCTCCCATGCTTCATTGTTGTGTTGGGGTGGCATCAGTAGTACTCACATCTTGCAGAAACATATCTTATGTCTCATATACACACACGTGTTTTGTTGGCCTTTACCAGTCCAACTGGCCATCCCTGATGTTTGTTTAGTGTTTGTCAAGTTTATGATTGCCATGTCTAATGCACTGTAATAACATGTGTGTTTCACATTAGAAACCACCTTGGAGAATGGGAGAGAGTATATAATGAGAAAGAAAGGGACAGAGAGATAGAAAGAGATACAGATAGAACAAGTAAGGACAGGACGTTTTTCCAAAGATTTGCTGAGCTCAGACCTAGCAGTGGAGTGACAGATGAGACACGGGAGGGAAAAACAGATCAAGAAGTGGAATGGAAATGAAATGGGGAAATGACTACGAATGAAGAGCGAAGGGGGTGGAAAGAGGCGGATGAGTTGGTGGGAAAGAGCAAGAGGGCATGTGGAGGCCACGCGAACCACAAAAACTGGGTTGAAATGAAAAATTTGATAAAGCCCTGCTGGCTAGCAGTGGCCAGATCGAGCGGGTGGGAGGGAGGGGTTGGGAATAGGGCCTTAGAGGGGCTATCGGGAGCAGCACATCTGCAAAAGCCATTACGTAGTGTGTATGTATGCGGCGTGACGCTGTGTTTTCTCTGCCAGTCCTGGCTTGGGCCTGCGCGGCAAAACTGGGATCGGGTTTCGTCAGCATGCAGTGGGGGGCCGTCTCCAGTTGACACGTGATGATTTAGTCAGGTGTGAGCGTGCACTTTCCAATTTGGAGGGAAATAAATTAGAAGTGATTTTTTATGAGGCCTCTGTCCCAGGCTGTCTAAAGGCTCTCTCTCCCTCCTGCTGTGCACTGTCAGCCCAACTGATGTGTTTATAAAGAGTGCTGCAGTGGGAGCTGCCCCCACATAAACACACACACTCATGCACAGTACATATGATATACAAAAACACACATGTGTACGTCTAGACATAAGTAATGCAAACAATGGCAAGCATGAAAAACACATGCATGAACATACATGAGAAACACACATTTTACAAGCTGCACACAATATCACAGTATCACATTTTACATCCTTTTCATACGCGTTTGCTCTTGTGAAGCTGCGCAGTAGTGGAAAGAGTGAGAAATATAACTAGAATACCATTTAATTTGTGTGAACTTTACCTTATAACATAATTACCAATGCAAATACAATGGGATAGAAGAAAATAACAGCAACAGGAACAATAACCTAAACCGCAGATAGTCAAAAGATTCTTCTTTTATTTTTCTTATTCTACTCAAAAAATAACCACTGTAAAATTCTTCCAGGTGCCGTAGCAGCTCTGAGTGATATTAAATAAAAACAGAGAAACGCAGGTGTGTTAGTAGTAGAGGATGCGGAGCAGAACAGATCCAGGCAGAGATGATGGTTCTTTGAGGCGACGGAGACATGTTTGAGCTCCACTGGGGTCTAGAAGCCGGAAATCCAAATCCCATCCGACCTCTGACCTCTGTTTGGTTCCCCTGCTACTGCTCCCACACATGGCCCTGGCTGCCTTTACTAAATGACTCCTTGACTTGTCTTGTCTGGTTGACTCTTTTCGTGCATGTTTTTGTTTATCTCTGTCTCTCTGCCTGTCTGTCTTACTGACTGAACGACTGCCTGCTCTGTATGTCTGTTGGCCTGCCAGGCTGTGAACGAGTGAGTGCCTCTGTCAGCCTGTTCACTTACAATACCTTCCAAAGTTGAACAGGACCAAATCGACACTTTGTTGGACCATATAAATGATAGGTAATTACAAAATGAATTACTTATTATTATTTCTTAACAAATGACTCCCAACTAATTTATAATTGGAGTTAAAAGTATAATTTTTTTTTTTTACTGCAGAGCCCTTACATAAAAATCAGCTATTCACTGCATTGTATAAACAATGTAATGTCATCCATAACTGCTGAAGATACTGTACATGTAAATATCATAGCATACATAGCAATAATACATAGCATGCACAATTACTTGGATGTTAGATAATACAATGATAATATATAGTTTCCATACAGAGAATGTCTAAGGTTTACTGTCACAACAGTTTGGACAGTGTGAGAGACAGTCCCTTGTGGGTTATACTGCTTTGCTCCCCCTAGAGGGATATATTGTACCAAACGTGTAATCGCTGTGGAGGTTCGGGGATCATGTCTCCCCCAATATTTCTTCTTTACATCCTTTCTTCCTTCATTGTTTCCTACCTACCCTTTTCACTCCCTCTATTTATCAGTCACTGTTTCTCTCCTTTTTTCTTTTTCTCAAAGCAGCGGTATTTTAACTTAAGAGCAAGTGTACATCGTAAAATAAATACATACAAAATGATGCAGTATCCATCAGTGTCAGTGATAAAGTTGATATGTTACTCTAAAATTTGAGAATTACCTTACAAAAATTACAAAATTAATCAGAAGAATAATTTGTTACTGAAGCTTTTAGCATAATAACAATACCAGACTGGTAAAACAAGAAAGGTTGAATTAGTAATATCTGTAATATTGTACAGGCAAGGATTACAGTTAAATAAATAAAAAGTTTGTGGCATTTAAAACAACTCTTAAGTTTTAAGGGTTCTAATTTTATTTTACTAAAACCGTTTTTAGCAGTTCGGACATTTACAGTGGAACTTTGAACAGGAAGTCAGTACACCGGCGTCATTTCCAGGAGAGTCGGTCTGAATTTGCCTAACCCTCCCACACAGAGCAGATGATCGAAAGAGATTGGGAACTTTTTACTGAGGGGGTCAAAGTCTCCTTCCTTTACGAGTTGTTACAACATGAATGGGAGCACTGAGAGAGGGAGGGAGGAGCAAGGTAGGGAGGGAGGAAAGGAGGGGAAGGAAGTGAATGGTGTAGTTTTTCTCAGCTATAGCGCCCCTGAGCGAGGTGAGAGGTGGGGGCCAGGGGGCACTGGCTGGGTGGTCAGCATGATCGGCAACCTGTGTGTGTGTGTGTGTGTGTGTGTGTGTTTATATGTGTCTGTTAATGGCTGTGTGTTAATGGCTGTGAGTGCAGAAAGTCAGAAAGAGAAAGGAGTTCCGTATGTATCCAACAGTGGGAATAATCAAAGGCGTCTCATATTTCCCTCAAGGCCGCTTGATCCTTTTTTCTGTTCTTGGTTTTTTAATCAGCTTTCTTTTCCTCAGACGACTGCTTCTATTCTTGTGTCATTGTTATTCCACAAAGAGCTTACACATGCACATTCTCTGAGGTTTTGCTCTTTATGGACTGCAGAATGAGGTGTAGACCAAAATGACTACTCTAATCGAGTAGCCGCACGGGTCCTAAAACAACAGACTGCATTTAGCCAATATAATTCATTCCTCGTGACCATAAAATATCCAGGCTTAA